ATTCATTTATCTTTATTTTATAAAGTAAAAGTAAAGTACCACCCCTAGTAACAACAGCTGTTTTCATTTTCGAACTAAAATTGCAACAGATAATCATACATGATAAGGTATGGGTGTGGATGTTTTAAAAGAATACCTACACTCATCTGACGTCACCGTATGAAATAAATTGCTGTTAGTCTTGAGCATTCTCTATCAAAAGTGAAGGTAACCAGAAAGAGCACACAAAAAGTTGCAGTCGACAGTGACAAAAAATATTCTTCCAAGCATCCAAGGTAAGATTGCTTGCACACATTATCTTATATGTGCCGAAGTTGACTCATGTCATATTTATGAATGAGAAGACACTTTCTTATCTCTTTAAAAAAATGGTAGCTAAACATAGCATAACAACAGCAAGAGTATGATTTAGAATTTGAACAGAATTACATTAATTATTATTATCGACACTTATCCTATTGCAACACAATGAAAGTTCAAGTAATAAATTTTGTATCATCATTTCCATTTCAATACTCAGATCTACATACATGATTTTACGGAATAAGATGATTAAATAGGATATTGAGGTGAATACACGAAATCACCTCATTTCGTCTCGATTCCAGGGGATGTCGTAAAGTGTATTGGTATTGTGCTTGTCATACTTACCCTCCAAATATTAGGACGAATGTTGCTCATGTCACATTCACGATTTAGATTTCAAACACAAACATAGAGAGATCTCTTCTTATCACTATCTATATAAATAGCACTGTTATCTTGTATGTTGGTTAGAGTAGTTGGTGAAGATGCATGTTTTAGTGTTACTTCTTCTTATAGTTGAATGTTGGAGTTGGGGTAATATAAATGTAGTAATTGATGACAAAGGAGGATACAATATTACTATTGGTCGTCGAGTTTGGCTTCGTTCATTTCGTACAGCTATATACGTCGACAACAAATGGTATTCATCCGATGACAATACACTACCATTAACTGACATCAGTTATACAAGTGGTTTTGATCCAAATCTCGGTGATTATCGAGATTTTCAATTAAACTATGATCTTGTTCGCGATGGAATACATACGAAAATCGTTGGTCACATACGCGATTGGTATCGTGCTTTCGGAATTTCGTTTCATTTAGATACTGGTGATCGACCTTTGACGAATACCGTCCCTCTTGACATGGACCATGTTTGCACAGTTTTTCCATCGTTTCATATTGAACAAATTGATCAAAATGACCAACGAGGTTATTTTACATTTGAAGGTAAGATTGATTTTAGAAATGCTTTTAACTGTCTCTCTCTCTCTCACTTTTCTTCAGGAGGAATGTCCGGTAATGATGGTAAACATGCAGGTTGGTGGAATTCATCCAGTAAAGTCATTCAATCAGGAATGCAAAGTGGTCCTGTTGTTCTTTTTAATCTGACTGAACAAGGAGAAGGTGATATGTTAGTTCTTTCACCATTTTCTCAATTTATGGCCACTTCATTAAGTCAAACGAAGAGCAACATATTAGAATTTGGTGTGATGGGTTCAATGTTATCAATACCAGCTAATTATATTCATTCCATGATGGTTTTTTATGCATTAAATGGTATCAATGAAGGAATAAGAGAATGGGGTCAAATCATGCAAAGCGAATATACTCGAACGAATCAACATCGTCTATCTGATGTTACGATCAATTATCTTGGATACTATACCGATAATGGTGGTTATTATTATTATAATACAGAAAAAGAAATAAATTACGAAGAAACTATGGTTAATGTTCGTCATCAAATTTCACTTCCATTCCGTTATATGCAATTTGATTCGTGGTGGTATTATAAAGGTATGGGCAATGGTGTTTCTCAGTGGACAGCTCGTCCAGATATTTTTCCTGATGGTCTTCAAGCTGTACATCGTCGATTAGAAAATATTTCGCTCGCAGCACATAATCGCTATTGGGCATATGATACTGTTTATAAACAAAATTATTCTTTTGTTCTTGATGAAAGTAATAACAAAGCATTACCAATCGGAAATGATTTATTTTGGATTGATTTATTTACTCAAGCACATGATTGAGGTCTTATTCTATATGAACAAGATTGGCTTGATCGTCAAACAATTGATTTTTTACCAACACGGACTGATATTAATCTCGGACATCAATGGCTAATGTCAATGGGTTCAGCAGCAGACAAAATCGGACTAAATATACAGTATTGTATGAGTTTACCACGTCATATTCTCAGTGCATTACAAATTCCACGTGTAACTCAAGCACGAGCATCAACTGATTATGCTCTTCATCTTGATGGTAAAGCACAACAATGGACTATAGGAATATCGAGCATGTTTGTTGATGCTATTGGTTTGGCACCATTCAAAGATGTGTTCTGGTCCACCTCATTACAACCTGGATCTCCTTATAAACCAAATGCTAAAGAAGTACTTCCAGAACGAGAAATACTTATTGCGACTTTATCCACAGGACCTGTCAGTCCTGGAGATGCTATTAATTATACCAATACACAACATATTATGAAATGTTGTCGTGGAGATGGTTTGATTTTGAAGCCAGATCAACCATTGACTATGATTAATAGATTAGTATCGGACTGGGCTTTTTATGATGGTGTCTCACAAGGTGAACTTTATTCAACAAGAACAAATATGTAAGTGTTTCTCTTTCTAATCTTCTAAATAATTTAAATATATTTAGACATGGTCAAATACTCTATACCATCTTTGCATCCGCGATGAAACAAGATTATTTAGTTTATCCTTCTATGATTGGGGCTCAACCAGGAGTGATCTGGTCATATGATAATCCAACAGCAGTATCAACTTTCGATGATGATCATCCTCTAAATGTTTCAACTGCTAAATGTCATGATTTATCAATATGTCTTTGGTATGTATCGCCTCTGATCATATTCAGCAGTTCAACGAAATATGCTCTGCTTGGTGAATGGAACAAATGGACAGCTATAAGCTCTCAACGAATTATAGGCATAGACAATTTTATCGGAAGCAATTTTGCACTGATAACTGTCTATGGTTTAGTTAGTGAAGTCGTTCCAATCCTGGTTTTTCATTCTAACTTATCAATCGTCAATGTAACTTGTCGAATGCACCCTGATGAGGGCGAAGCTCAACTTGTTATTGATGATCATAGGGCCGGTTGCTATTAAATCAAATGAATAAATTTATGCTTTTTAAATAACAGGGTGAGTGTGGATGTGTGGGAGTGGGTGTGGGTGTGGGAGTGTGCTCCAAATTGTGCGCACACCCACACCCTAAAATCAAAGTAAATTCAAAATTTTTCTATACTAAAATTATTTTATGTATGAGAAATTCTAAAAATTCATTATCTCAACCGTTTAAACGTTTAGAATTTTCAACGATGGAGACACGAAAAAATTTATATGTGAAAACCCCTAGAAATTCTTAATATCAGCCGTTTAAACGTTAAGAATTTTGAACTATGTAGATATAAAGAAATTTTTATACCGAAACCCCTAAAATTTGTTGACATCAGATGTTTAAATGCTTAGAATTTTGAAGCATGCAGATATGAAAAAATTCATATGTGAAAACTCCTAAAAATTCATAGTATCAAACGTTTAAACATGTAGAATCTTGAACTATATAGATATACAAAAATTTCTATATCGAAAACTCCTAAAAATTGTTGACATCAGACGTTTAAACGCTTAGAATTTTGAAGCATGCAGGTATGAAAAAATTCTCATGTGAAAACTCTTAGGAATTCTTAATGTCAACTGTTTAGACGTGTAGAATTTTAAACTATGTAGATATAAGGAAATTGCTATATCAAAATTTCTAAAAATTATTGACATCAGCCATTTAAACGTTTAGAATTTTGAAGCATACATATATGAAAAAATTCGTGTATGAAAACTCCTCGGAATTCTTTATGTCAGCCGTTTAAACGCTTAGAATTTTGAACTAGGTAAATATAAAAAAATTTCGATATCGACACATCTAAAAATTATTGACATCAGGCGTTTAAACGTCTGAATTTTTGAAGCATGCAGTTATGAAAATATTCATATATGAAAATTCCTAGAAATCCTTTATATGAACCGTTTAAACGTTTAGAATTTTGAACTATGTAAATATAAAAAAATTTCTATATTGAAACTTCTAAAACTTATCGACATCAGACACTTAAACGTTAAGAATTTTGAAGCATACAAATATGAGAAAATTCATGTATGAAAACCCTTGAAAATTCATTGTACAGCCGTTTAAACGTTTAGAATTTTGAACTATGCAGATACGAAAAAATTCATGCATGAATATTGCTAAAAGTCGACGATGTCATTCGTTTAAATGTTTAGAATTTCGAAGCACGCAGATATGAAAAAAATTCATGTATGGAAACTCCTAGAAATGCATTATATCAGCCGTTTAAACGCTTAAAATTTAGAATTATGTAGATACAAAAAAGTTTACATCTTGAAACACCTGGAAGTCAATGAAACTAGCCGTCTAAACGGTTACTATTTACTATAAGAAACGTGTCCGAAATATTTGATGCTGCACTATGTTGAAATACTGAAGCACCCATCGTTTAAACGCTTGAACTTTCGGAATAGTTAATCTAAAAAATATATGGAGAAAATAACGTCCAGAACCCTCAATTTTGAAGGATGAATGTGGTCAGTAATTATCGCAGAAACCCGAATGATAAAAGTGTTGGAGAAAACGCGCAAAAATCTCAACTTTTTGATGCATGAAGTGAGTTTTTGGAGCCAATGACCGTTTACACGATTACAAAGCAAGCTTTCGAGGTGTTTAAACATCTACAAATATTCAATAGAAAAAAACTGTACGTTTTCACTGGTGGAATTTTAGAATTCTAAGTGTTTACACGGCCATCTTTTTTTTAACGCGTGTAAACGCTTGAAAAAGTCAGTTTTATGGTGTGTACACCCGTTTTCGGAAAGTTTTGTCTGCTTGGGGTCTCATCAATATCTCAGTCGAGTTCGCAGATGAGAATGATTTGTCGAGCCATTGCTGAGTTATTGCAAAAAGACTCATTATTCCCTATGGTTTTCTATGCAAACATTGACCTATCCCGGTTTTCGTAAAAGACTTATCCTCTCATAATCAACCAAAACCTCAGCTATTATATACCATTCGATAGAGAATTTCACGAGCTACAAAATGTTATATAAAACATTATGAAACAAGAAGGCTAACTCACCTATTGCAAAGATACTTAAACGAAAATCGGTTCTGTTTTTGTCTACGCTCCAATTGATTGAAAAGTAAAGCTCCATCTTCCGATCAAAGAGATCATACTTAGAAGTTTTTCTAGGGTGCCGAACTCGAATCTGAGCTCTACTTGCCTCGAAACCCTATTGGTTGAGCAGTAACCAATACAAATCAAGTTTTAATAGAAGGAGCTCGCTAGGATAATTCTGATGTGTACGCGTGCTAGGATGGCTCATCTATCCAGTTCACTTTTTGAAATACACATAACGTTCGGATTTAAATCCGATGTTTCCACATTTATTCTACATGGAAGAAACACACTTGATTTTTTCAATGAAATTAGTTTTTTTCATTATTTTTACTGATGAAGACGCTTCGAAATATACTCATCCGATGGAACGTGAAAAACTGCGTCTAACGAGTATATCTCGAAGCGTCTTTGTTAGTAAAAGTAATGAAGAAAACTAATTTTATTGAGAAAATCGAGTGTTTTTCTTCCCTATTAAAAATTGCTGGTGCCTTAATTTTCTATGCTAAAAACAGTGTAAAATTTCCGAAAATTTTGTAAGTTCGGCATTAACATGTTTTGATAACTCTTACTATTTAGTACTAATATATTCAGTTTTCGACGCTCTTTAATTTGGTATAAAATTCATTAGGTATTCAACTTGAAATAATAGCATTACCCCTTAGCAAAAGGTTATGCACAACCCGGTATACCTCCAGCTATTTCATTTATAAATTCAAATAAAGAAAAATCTACTATCATAGCCGATTACTACGTTCTAAAAATGAATAAAACAACAACTTACAGTTGCTAAATAAAAAAGTGATGAATCAAGTTTTTTCATTATCTATATTTGGTCACTGTTATAATATTGACATAAACTCATATCATAAATCATATTCTTTACTATACACAGCTCTTCAAAATATCCATCAACCATTTTGTCCGTCGATATGCTTTTTGACATTTTTACGGCCAACCAAAATATGAGATCCGTTTTTTCTTTTAAACGACTAGCTTAGGGTATTAGTAAAAACGGTCTAACCCACTCCAAGTCACTCCAACCCTCATTTAATTCGAAATAATTGTCAATTGATAGAGCTTAGAATTCCCCACTCCAGGAGACCCCACTCGAAGCTATTTACTTTGAGAAATATTTGATGAAAGAATTTAATACTCATTTTATGGGTCCATTCCAACTCACTTAAAGTCCATCCTAACCAACTTCAAGCCGAAATCTCACAATATAATGAGTATCTCGTATTCACATGCATCGCATCAGAGGTCGCTACAGTCAATGTTGCGTCCTGATTTCCTGAGGGTGGGTGTGGATGCCTGTGTAGATAAAGAAATAGAATAAACCCACGCCCGCCCCTGATCGAACTCTCCTTTCAAAAGTTATTGTGTAAACGGCCGGACACGCTGATCGATTCTGGAGTGTACTCACTTTTTGAGTACACAAAAATGGTTAAAAAAGAAATTACGATCAATTTCCAACAATCAACTAAAACTAACTAAAACTATATAATCGATTAAAAAGATTTAAATCAGCTGAGCTTCATCGTTCAGAATGAAAGATCTTATTAAAATCAGATTAAAATGCCAGTATTTAATCGATTTTTAATCTAAAACTAAGCAATTTCAGTCTAATTTTTGACCTTTTTCTATATGAACAAACTATGGAAGTATGTAGCTTGCTTGTTGATATGTCATGATATCGTTTCTGACGTTCATATATCTTCTGAGACCTAACAGGGGTTACACCAAACTGGCAAAGAAAAGGTCGTTCTAAAAACCTTGAATTTTATAAGAATGTTGCTCATATCAGAAAGCAAAGCCCAAGATTTTCTTGACTTTGTGGAAACGCAACTTTTGTTAGCTGTCGACTAGTATACGCCATCATGAGAGTATGTTATTGATATTCAATAATAGAAATTCGCCGACATTAACGATCGTTTGCGATGAAGTACAATAACAAATAGTGATTCTATATCGAACGAATTACAATAAACAAAGACGGTACGTCGCGATATTATGCGATGAGCGTATACAATCTGCATATTGTTACAGAAGTCGTACACGGTTGCTGTTTATGGCAATTGTTTACGTCGACCGCAAAATCATCGTAAAATGTCGTTTACGATCGCCGTAAGGGACTACCGTATACTGCTCCCGTACACTGTGTTTTACGACATTTTATAATACCAGCGTATACGGTCGTCGTGTTGTCAAGCTAGTCGTTTCCGACGATACTTTACGGTCAATGTTTACAATTACCGTAGCATGCCGTAAAGCATCAGGTACGACCATTGTAAACAGCCACCGCAAACAGCTGACGTATACGACGCCTTACATTGTTTTTCGACCAAAGTATACAGTCACCGTATTGTTACGGTAGTAGTTTACGATGAACTTTTATGGACACTGTGTACGATTGCCGTAATATGCTGCAAAGCATCGTTTGCTGCTGCCGTAAATAGCTAACGTAAACGGTCGCCGTTTTTCGCCGTATTTGGTTTGTGAACGGCCGTTTACGATCGAGCATCATTGACCTAGGTGCTTATGAAGGTAGAAATGGATAGAGAAATTTTCATTGAATTAATTACATTGCTACTGGAGAAAATCTATTTCCATTAGAAAGTCTTCTCATGGCGAGAAAATAATCCCATCTCTCTATGTCTGTTTCCGTTCTGTTTGTGACGGTAGAGGTAGATAAACAATTTCAATTTTGTATATATGTTATTTCTTCCTACGTAAATGCATTTATGTGACGCTTAACATGTTTCAGAAATCATTTGTCTTTGACTTTAAGAGTGTCCATTTAATTTGACAAATCAGCATATATTTTTTTTTGCAAATATTTAATTTTTCTTTTTTTGATATTGCTAATGAAAACAAGGATATGAAGAATAGCAAGAAAAATAAAGAATAGAAACAACAATCAAGAAAAGAAAAAGAGAATAAATCAATGAATAATTTAATTAATTAATTAATTAAGTTTTATTAACCCGAGGCCTTTCGAATTACTGTTTCTTTGTCAAGCGACAGATAATGCGTGATGTCACTTGTAAGCTCCAAGTTATGATGTCAGTTGGAGACGATGCATGGTTATGGTTCAACATTTTTTTCATCGAAAAAACGAGGATAATTATATATATATTTATGTTCAAGTTCAACATTTTAAATAGGAAAAAGGACAATTATGTATATTTGTTAAGGTTTCGTTTCACCATTTGAGATACTTAGGGGTATCTAAAAGTAGTGGCAATGACATTTTTGTACCGTATAGAAAACTTGAAAAAACTTTCTTTTGGTTTAGAATGATAGAGAAAAAAATGTTTTTTTCTTTCTATGCTATTTGATCATTTTTCTATTGATATCATAACAATAAAATTCTAACAAGACCAGGTTTTCTTTATTCTTTTCTCTAGCCTCTTTTAAGACTTTATCATTTATTCATATTAGCGTACACAAAAATACAAAATACATAAATAAGTTCAACAAGTTTTTATTTCATTAAATGTTCAAAGTAATCGCCTGGATTATCTACACACAACTACATTCGTTGAATCCATTTATCAAATGTTATTTTATGAGGTGTGGGTGCGGGTATGAGTATTCAATTCAACCGCACCCACACCCACATCCAGAATTAAATTCTGCATCCAGCACAACCAACTAGAACAATAGCACAGATAAAGAGACGAATCTGGACAGGAAATACCGCGTGAAAGCTCCTCTCAAACAGTATATCTCCATGAAGTCTCACTTTTTGTTTGATAGCTCCCACTGAAAATAGCACCATTCGATGCAGAATTAAATTCTACATCCAGTACAACCAACTACAGGGTGTGTGAAAATGTTTTTCCAGGGGGGTAA